TGTGGGTCACAAGTTGTGCAATTGAAAATGTCCCATAGACCACTAGAAAAAGGAGGTCATGAAAATGTTAAAAGAAAGCTTCAAATTTAGACCAGGTTGTAAGAAAAGATATTTATAGATATAACTACTGTCCAATCATTGAGATTAGTAGTCCTGCGGGGACTAATCATTTAGACATCTTGGCTTTGTTGACCAGAGGCACTCCATTGATTATGGAACAGTGCTATGTCTAGGGTACTCCCTGTTTAAAGTCTACATTGGAAAACTGTAATGGCCAATAGCCCCAGGATTTGACTGCTGAGTACACACATTCAGGCATTCATGCACTAGACTTACAGGTGTATGCAGTCTCATGTACAGGATCAGCTTTAGGGCCAAAGAAAAAATTATTTTGCATCATCAAACTAAATCAGAAGATCAGCACTGACACCTCTATCAATCAATTAAAAGAGGTCCTTAAAGTTGAACTCCGGAATAAGCAAATATTGTCTAAATACAAAAGTCATGTATTCTTACTTGAATCTTGGTGTGATTTCTGTATTTCATCCAAATGTGTTCAATAATCCAGTGACAAACTTTCCCTTTGTGCAGGAGCTTCCTGTAATAAAGACCAGTCCATGCTGCTCCCTGTTCTTATGCAGGGTGACTGGTCTTATCTCCACCCCCTCCTGTAGTTATCTGCAGGCAGCATGTAGAGGGTGGAGCCCTCTAGGTCCCTCCCACAGCTCTGCTCTCTGCACAGGCTATGTATAGCCCAATAGTGATGGCATTGCTCCTTTGCAAGGTAATATCTGGGGTTTCAAAAGCATTTGGTGCACAGTATTGATTTATAGCTTTTGTGGTTATCAAGGAATATATTTAAATAAAAGGGTTTGTGGCCAGAATTCTGCTTTAAATCATGCCAGGAGCCCAAAAATACAAAATGTACATGATATAGAAGAATTTTAAATCTACTAACCAGCAAAACACTAATGAGGGTTGAGTATCATAATGGAAATACTGATAGAATGCTGGTTACATAAACTGATAAAATTCCATGTATTTATGAGCCATAGGATACCGGTTTAAATAAAAGATGGGGTATAAGCAATATACCACATTTTAGCCCCCATTAACAGCTGAGCGTTTTGTAGCTTGGAAGCTCAAAGCTCCAAAAATCATTCAAAATCCAAATCCTTTAAACTGACCCTGTTCACATTTGAGTGCACAAAAGAAACAAAAATGCATGTTGCACATGTATATCAGGAGAGCTCATAATAAAAGTATATGGGGCCACAAATATGTGCTCATGCTCCAAAGAAGCTCCTGTATGGCACTCCACTCCGAAAAACGTGTGAAAAAATGCACAAAACACAAATGCTTCAAAGTAGTCTACATATGCTATGCCCAAGTGTGAATGCGGGCTCACTGCTGAAGAATACCACTGAATACACTTATTACTACAAATGTTGTTGATATCAGAACACAGATTTCACTAAAATGCACAGTTCATAATTTATAGAAGTGTTCTAAAAACAGAATAGCAGCTAGGAAAAACACATGTTCAGATTTGGCTAGATTACCCTGTAAATGTCTGGAATCAGAGCAGCATGCTGCAAACTGCTACTGGTGTCCTAAGAAGTAATCTCTTTGCTGTAGCAAAAGAACAGTTAGAAAGAATTATCAGGCCATCAGCTCTACCTCTGATGTAAACCATGGACCAAAATCATGGACCAAAATCAGCAGAGAATTATTTTTTGCTTTGAAATAACCAAGTGAATAGTTTGAGATGAGAGGACCCAGAAAAGCCAGGAAAACCAGGTATAATGGAGAAAATGACTCTGTACATTACAATTATATGTGGTAGGGGCAGGTCCAGCCTTTGTGAACCTAGCACAGTGTGGACATTTTAGTATGCAGCTGCTTTTCAAAATAAACAATGTTCAATCACAAGAAAATGGCTTTATATATTGACCAACTCTATCTTCCCTTCTTCTTTTTCTACACCTTATCAAGAATGATACAAGGTATCATTCCAAATGTGTGTATCATTCCAAAAGTGTTGCCAAATGCTGGCTATCATCTTCCTCCTGTCTGCTCACAGTCTCATCTTCTCTGCTGTGTATATGGCACCAAAGCAAGCCATAGATTAAAGCTCAATTTCCCCCATCAACACAGTCTGTGTTGAAGAGGGAATCCATCCTGTGGATTCTGCCAGCGGAGAGCCTTCCCCACCAGCAGAATACAATGATCACTGCTTGCGGCTATAGACATCAGCAGCGATCACATGAAAAAAAAAAAAAAAAAAAAAAAAAAACACAGGCTGGTTGCACTGAAGTCAATATATAGATCGACTTAAAGTGATACTAAACCCTTGTGTTTTCTTCCTTTAATTAATAAACACGTGACACTTACCTTCTCTGTGCAGTGGTTTTGCACAGAGCAGCCCTGATCCCCCTCTTCTCAGGTCCCCCCCGCCGGCAATTCTGGCTCCCCACCCAAGTATTGCCCTCATAGCAAGCTTACTATGGGGGCACTGGTACGTGCTCATCCCAATGCCCCAGTCTCTGCGTCCATAAGACACTCTCTCCTTACAGGCTGTGATCGACAATAGCTGCTGTGTCTCAGCCAATGAGGATGCAGAGACCTAGAAAAAGCCGAGTCTCGTGCACATCGCTGGACCACGATTGGGCTTAAGGGCGTATTTGGGGGCTGGGGGGGCTCTGCATGCCAAGATCTGATTCACACATGTGCGGTTCGGATTGAAGCTCAGGTTTCACAGCTAATTGATACAGTAGTTGTTCACAGGTTCAGGTCAGGTTTACATCAGGTTCAGGACAGGATTAGATCAGGATCGTAGCCTTGGTTCACACATATGTGGTGTGGCACATCCACACCGCATTCCTGTGCAAATCAAATGCGATTTCTGTGCGGTGCAATTTGAGACATATGTTTTGTATGGCTCAGATCGCACCGTATCCACACCAAAATAGTGCAGGACCTTTTTTTTTGTCCGCACCAGAATCGGACCGCATGGGTATTCACACCCAAGAGATCCGATTCTTGCACATCGCACCACATTTGGAAACCAATTTCCAGGTGTCGTTAAATTAAAAAACGTCCGCAGCGGTTCGTGTAAACAGGGTGCGATCATGATGCAGTGTGGAAATCACACAGAATCTGTGCTTATCCTGTTCACACATATGCAGTTTAGAAACTGTTCCCATAGAAGTCAATAGCTTGTAATCCGCACCTGAACCGGATCGCACTGCTCAGAAATTGTACATGACTCTTTTGCAAACTGCACTGAATCCGTGCTCCCAGTGCACTGGACATATGTGAACAGGCATCATAGTAAGCAATGTTTTTTCATGTCAAGCAGATTGGATGCAATTCAAGCCACATCCAATCCGCATATACGTGAACTGGCAGGTTTTTTACCTTCATGCATTATAGGCATGAAGGCAGGGACATATCTACCACAAGGCAAACAAGGCATTTGCCTAGGGCGGCATTTTTTCAGGGAGGCAGCGGCATTTTTCAGCCCCCCGAAAGAAGGGATGGAAGAAAGGACACACAGCATGAGCAACAGGTGAGATCTGAGAGAGGCTGCAGGCTGCTTGATGGTGTATGCAGAGCCCGACTCTTGTTACCAGGGATGTCTGGAGCTGTGAAGGTGAGCGTCTTCTTTCTCACCGGGGTGGGGGGACGTTGCCAGTGCATGGGGGGCGGTAGTAGTGGTAGGCTCTCTCAGGTGGGGTGTTGTTGGTCAATGTCAGACAGGAGGGGGGTGTTTGTCAGTGTCAGGCTCCCTCCATGGGGGGGGGACACGATTTTTATATTGCCTAGGGCAGCACGAAACCTAAATACACCACTGCATGAAGGTAAAAACCTCAGTCTTTAGAACCACTTTAAGTACAACCAGCCTGCTGATTGATGGATCAAAATTTCGATCAGGCTATGGGTGACCTAAAGCCTCATACACATGATGAGAATATCGGACGAATGATTGTCCATTTTTTTTTTATTGCATGCTAGTCTCAGATCAAAAACAAAAGGTAACTAGAGTTGTGAAAATTCTCATAAGACAGAATACAACTTCCCACATGATGCAATGTTTTGTAATGTATTCTTTCGTTTCTAAGCATGCAGTCTCAATCACATGATTTCTTCTGAGCAAATACTGTACTGATTACAATGAGAATCGCTTGTTTTGTTATTGTACAAGAAGAATTTTCATGCTTGTCCCTTTGGATAATTTTTCATGAACTGCTTGCTAAAGGGGTGTATGAACGATCAGATTATTGAACAATTGCTCTGAAAGTGGTATTTAGTATCTAATATTCTCATCATGTGTACCAGACATTAGGCTAGGTTCACATCTGTGCATGTGTGGTTGATGTGTTTTTGTGGCATGTTTTCAAGCACGTTGTTGATGCATTTTCACATTTCTTGTGCTTTGTTGTAGGTAGAGAAGACTGGTTGCTAAACACAAATCAATACCAAAACGTGTATTTTTGACACGCATCCATTGAAGTCTATGGACCATAAAGTCCCTGCAGGAACCTGCATTCATGTGAAAGGAAGCCATAGGAGATTGTGGTGCGTTTCTGCACTTCATTAAACGCACTGCAAAACACATGTGAATGTAACCACCTCCTGCAAGGTGAACCACCATACAGATACCATGCATGGCTGGCTCCTGATCGTCCATGGCACGCAGTATACAGTCAGCCACAGTACTGCTTCCTGCAGGAGGGATGACGTCTGATAAAAGGCAACACCTAGATATGCCAATGCTCATCAGCATTCTAGGACAGCGAGGCGGTTTTATGAAGCAGCCAGGCTGACAGGTGCACCCCCAAAGGCAAAGGGCAACCAGCAATATCTACATGCTGCAAGTGTCTAGAATGAACTGAAATACAATGTGCTTGAAGGATCAGTAGGTGACCCCCCCCCCCCCCCCCATTCAGAATGCCCCCCTTACAACAAACAGGTGACATAGATCTGATGCTCCTTACCTGCATGGCAGAGCCCCTCGCTTGGCACGGTCTGGACTAGTGAGCCGCTCGTCTCCTTGCAGCCATGAGCCTGCACCCCCTCCTCCTGAGTTGGCAAGAAAGCAGAACACAGATCAGTTTCCAGGGCCTGCAGCTTCAATAAGGAATTCTGCAAACAGAAGCAGAACATCAGGCAGCCTGCAACAAGATGTACCACGGACAGCAGAGACAGCCTGGAGCACCAACACAGGGTGGAGGGAGCCTGGACAGATCCTGGGGATAGGATGGGGGGCAGATCCTGGGAGATCTGATGGGCGGGTCCTGGGGATAGGATGGGGTGCAGATCCTGGGGATATGATGGGGGGTCCTGTAGATCTGATGGGGGTCCTGGAAATCTGATGGGGGATCCTGTAGATCTGATGGGGGATCCTGGAAATCTGTTGGGGGAGGGATCCTGTAGATCTGTTGGGGGAGAGATCCTGTAGATCTGTTGGGGGAGGGATCCTGTAGATCTGTTGGGGGAGAGATCCTGTAGATCTGATGGGGGGGGGCTCCTGTAGGTCTGATGGATGGTGCAGCAGTGGCTCGTTCTCCTTCTGGCAGGGGTCTTCCTCTGGACAGAGGCTCTTTAATGGGGAAAACCACCACAGCAGAAGCCTACGCAAATCCCCCACGTGGGCTGTGCAGCTCAGCCCGGCTCTCCATGTCTATGTATTATTAATAACACGGGGGGGGGGGGGACGGTGATTCCGTCAATCTGACCTCATTTTCTCTCAGATCGATGGACCTGGTGAGGGGGAGGGGAGATCAATGCTCTCTATAGGCTGCCCGGCTTCCATTCATGTCGGTGACGTCATCATGTCCTGACTGCTGGCCGCGCCCCCCCCATTGATGAAAGCACAGAGCCCCGCCATACCTTCACACTCACCGACTACGGCCGCCCGGGGTGGAGGGGATGTGTGGGCGGACACCGCGCTGTCACAATGACATCCATCCCATCCCCTGTACGGACCCTGACTGTCATCAGTAGAGGGATGACACCGAGTGTGACCCGGGAATAGGAGGATCTCCGATCTACACAGACACCTGGCCTGTCATCACTGGGGGCTCCGAGACACCTCCCCCTCCCGGGTGTACAGCCCGCAGTACTCTCCCTCCATCCTGTGTATGCAAACATCTCCATACATCACACCATCATCACAGATCCAGTGTGTGCCAGCCAAAGACATCAGGTGTCAGCCAATGACAGCACACCATTCACCACCACGATCAGGAAAAGAATACATCTTTATGGAACAATATACATAACATCCTGCAAGATCTTGTCATGAGCATGACCACAATCATGATGGGGGGGGGGCTCCATAGGACTGCAGGGGCCAGGGTCCCCCCCCCTTCTTATTTTAGGTGGTATGGCTCATTTAGGGCCAGTTCACACTACATACGTTTCAGTTGCTTTTTTTCTGCATCTGAAAACGCACAGAGTAGGTTATATGGTTGTCAATGCCATCGTTCACATCAGTTATAACACAAACAGGGATAAGTGAGCGCTAAAAGTCAAAAAGCTGCTAAACACCAAAAGGTAGCAAAAAACCTCCAAAGTAACAATATATAACAGGGTGTAGCGCTAAAGATAACCATATAAATACATATAAAAGATAAATAAAGGAACCAATATGATCGTAAAACCAAAAACGTCAGATGACAAAGTACTGAAAATGATAAAGTGATTTAGTGGTATCATATGAAACGTGTCACTCTTATCAAAACTAATTGCACATATACACCATACAACTGGATGCACACGCAGCAGCTGCACAGACAATCCCATTCACACCTATGCAGTTTGCGTTTGTGCTTTTTCTACAGTGCTTTTTGTGTGGTTTTTTTACGCGTTTTTGATGCGTTTTGTGGGGGGGTTCAACTTGTTGCTGGGCAGATTGGAATGCAAAATGCATCAAAAACACACTACATGCATTTCTGCAGAAATGCAACATTTTGCATTTAAAAAAGTCCCTGACCCTTTCCAAAAATTGCATCGGGTGAAATAACGCAAAGATGTGAACCTGTCCCATAGGAAATCATGTCAAATGGACTGCAAAACGCATAGGTGTGAACCTAGAAGGCCCTTCCATGCCTAATGCAGTGGGATGCAGTTGGCTGCATTTTCGGACTGCACTCCAACTGTGTGGACAGTGCTAAATGCAAGCTATCCTATTGGCATAGTTCACAGGATTGCAGTGCAGTGCAGAAAAATACAGCATGCTGCATTTTTCTGCACTGCAAATGCGCAGAAATGCATGCAAACACATTGCAACGCATCACAGTGCTCATAGAAGCCCAAGGAAATGAAGAAGGAAGTGACCTCACAGGACAAATGCAAATAGAAAAGTGCGCATCAACTGCATGTAAAACGCGCATCAACTGCATGCATAGGTACAAGGAAAGAACACACAGTGTGAATGGGCCTGAACTGTGACATGCAGGCCAGGAACAGCAGAACCTCTGCATTCAGTTCCATGGACCTGCTCCTGCCTGCATGTTAAACTCTGACATGGGATTGTGTCCGTGAAGCCACTGTGTGTGCATCAAATTCTATTGGCTGCCTGCACGCAGCTCCGAGGCGGATGCGCACACATCTGTCAGCAGCTCTGCATGGAGGATGGGCATAGGCTAGGTTTACACCTATGCAGGTTGCAGCTGATGCATTTTTCCAGTGCAGTTTGCCTTTTTTCACACATTTTTGATGTGTTCATTTTTTTATGCGTTTGCATCTATGGAACCAAAAATGCAACCTTCTACAGGCAAAAAAGTCCCTGACCCTCTCCATAAATGCACCAGTTGAAAACACACAGATGTGAGCGTGACCAATATGAAACCACATTAAATGGACTGTAGTGCATTTCTGCAAATCTGAAAATGCACAGCAAAATGCATAGGTGTGAACGGAGCCTTACTCACCAGTCTGAACAAGCCCTAAGGCCATGGTTCACACCAGTGCATTGTGCTTTTTGTCCGTTTTGCAGTGCATTTTGCATGCAGATTTTTGTCACATTTTTGCCACATTTTGTTTTTTTTTTCAGCTTTTTTTTTTGTTAAAGTGGAAATTTGGAAATGTGCTTTTATTCTGCCCAGCAACAAGAAAATAGCGCAAAATGGAGCAGCTTCTCCATTGAAGTCTATTGTAGCAAAAACACTGTTTTTTGCATTTAAAAAGTCCCTGACTCTTTCCAGAAACGCAGCAGCTCAACAAAGCATAGATGTGAACGTGTCCCATAGGAAACCATGTTAAATGGACTAAAAATGCATTGGTTGAGCAGGACTGTGGCGTCAAAAAGCACTGGTGTAAAAATGCACCTTCCTCCCCCCACCAAATATATTTTTCCCATATAACATTGAGCAGTAGGGCACTGAGCAGTCTGCCACCGTGCTCTGTCTTGCTGCAGCAGAGTGATAAGTCAGAGCAGTAGACATGGGGCTGCCAGTACTGCCTTGTGTGGCTCTGACACTGTCACCCTTTAGTGAGTCAGCGATCCAGGATCAGTCTGGGCATATCTGTCGCTGGTGAATGGTTGACAGTCCCCAGACATGACACAAGCCCCCCATACAGCTTTCCTACCTAGAAGTTTATGATCCTCTGAATAAAAAAAAAAAGTGCTCTGAATGAGAGAGCCAGGGAGCAGAGGTAGTGGGGAAGGTGGGGGATCAACATTTCCTTCTTGATGGTGTCACCCCTCTGGCAGGGGTGCTGTATGCACCCTCTGCACCCCCATAGCGATGCCACTGAACCAGACCCAAAAGGAGTGGACCTCCATCTCCACGTCTCTTAGCTGGATCACATCTCAGCAAATTCCCCTGCATCCCTCCTCGTGGCACATTTATGTGGTTCATCACATTTATATAAAAGGGGGACTGGTATTGGTAGTATTGCTTGAGTTTTAGTGGCTGCACAATTTAAAAAAGAAGTATGGACTTCAACATTTATATTCATCATGGTGGATGCAGTAACAATCAGATGCTGTATCTGTCCCCTTCCAGCTCTGCAGTGAGAACTGAGCAATCAAAGACCACTAATCGCTCAGTTCTTCCCTCTGCCAGCTGTGACTGTCAGTCTCCGGCTTTCTGCTCGGCTCCTCCAGCACTCACTGGAGCGCTGGGCTGTGGGGTAGGAACGGTTGGCTCAGGCTCTTGGCAGATCGCTGAAAGGCTAATCCAGCCGACAGTCCAGACCATATTGGTTGGATCTTTTCAGAGCCATGACCAGCTCTGTGATGTCGGGTCACAGGAGAGCAGAATGAAGTGCACCCCTGTGACCTACATTAGAAGTATAGCCAAAATCGCTTTGGCCGTACTTCTTTAAAGTTGACAGAGATTTGGTATTTAATCAATATTTCAGTTAAACCAATAAAAAGTGCTGTGGCCAAAATATTTTGCCAAACGTTAAGTGTGTTGTGTCTTATTTATTTATTTAAGGGTATTTGTTATGAGTTCTAACTGCAATCCCATGGATCATCCCCATACATACTGTATACCCAATATAATTTAATATAATTATGAATTCATCCATATTTAATGAAAGCGCAAATTTTTAACCAGCATTTTACAATATCTATATTCAGTAAAGCATCTGCAACACTTTTCTGGTGCTACTGTCAATTTAAAAAGTCCTGAGTCAAATTCAAAAAAGCCTTGTTACAGTTTTCCTGCTATTTGCGCCATGTGCAACAAATTTAGGTAGTTCTGTGTGACACTTTTACATTCCTGCACTTCATGCACATAAGATGCAGTAGAAGAGGTACTTGGAGGCAGTTGTCTACTGGGGTGAGTGTAAAGCATATGCATAAGAACTGACATATGCTGTCAGCATACACCATCTGCATTCTGAACATACATCAGTGTGCATGCGGAGGCTTTACACAGCTCTTTGTGGACATCTGCGTAAGCCACCTCTTCTGATGTATCTAAATGGGTCAGTAAGTGGCAGCAGCAGGTTCTAAGTATGTTATTATGCAGTCTCTGCACACTGTAGGACCCCTGTACAGCCATGTTCATGGAACAAACCTGGCCATAGATGAATCAAAAATAATCCAGTTCAGGAAGGACTGTCCCTGTCCAGCTGAAATTGATTCCTCCCTGCTGAGCTATTGTATTCTGGCATCGGGGAGACTTCACCAGTCAAAATATCCTTAT